CGTCGCTTCCGTTCGATCAGCCGGGTAGAAACTGGTAGCAAGTGGTCGACGGCAGACAACGGGAGGGTATAGTGCTCGGGTATGTGGATGTAATAATAGCAGAATAGGCGAGAGACCTGTCATTCTGCTTGATGCAAGGGGCCCTTAGGGCTGTAATTCGATGACAGCTGGTTATTCAGCGTACAAATCCTGTTCATTGTAAAAATTTCTCTTATGGTAATTTCCTTGAGCGAGGAATTTAACTCACTGTGCTTCAGTACAGCCGAAAAATGAGTAGCAACGAGTTGACGTGCCAACACTAGCGACAACCTGATTTCCTAAAGTAACAGTGCCAGACTTGTGAAACGTACGACCGCTTTTCATGAGTGTACTTTGCCTCGATCCCCCTGACAGCTGACCACTGGCCAGTATATGGTGTAACCCGTAAAATGTAAAATTATTCATATTAACGCCTTGTTTGAATTGAAATAAATGGCGAAGGATTCATTCGATTGCTTCTTATAATCCAGCGGATTTCACCTTTGCCGCGGTTGTGGATTTCAAGCCCAGTTCTGACGTGTCCACAGAACTTCGAGCTTCGGCAGAGTTGCATCGGTTCTCAGATTTTTTCGATCAGTAGTCAACATCCAGAACTTTTCCAACTTACTCTTCCACATGGAGATTTGCCGGGGGACCAGGCCTATTCAGGTGCACTGCGAAGTGTTCGGCTCATCGTTTCCGATGACCATCAGGGTCTTGCAGAGTCTCATTGAACTTTCCGTGTAATAAGCCGGTAGCATGCTTTTGTTTGACACCTTCAGCTGTTTCTAGTCCCTTATCGTCACCGCCTTTTCCAACTTCAGCACTCCGACGTCCAGTTATCGTTGTCTGCCTTTGTGGTTGCTTCAGTTGACCGCTTTTACGTGAAGAGATACTCTCTTCAAGGTCATGTCCCTGTTTCAGCGCACTTCTGTCCCTGGAAATACTTAAAGCTACCATCCTGCCCATGGCTGCCTCATCTTCCTGATGATGAGGCTAATAGCCTAAGCAGCGGCGTCGACGATGCCTTCGTTAAGGTGGTTGTAAAGCAGCTCCGGGACTTGGGAGATAATGACGTCATTCATTGGAGCGAATTTGCGGCTGCTACCCATCTGGATTCTCTCGCTAGTGAGGGGATCCTCCTTCAAACTCTCTGTATCAAGGCGGTCGTCCCGTCCCGTTTCCAAGATGTTCATCCAGATGTTGCCATGTGATGACGGCGACGTTTCGCGACCACTAGGAAATTGCCGGATGATCTGATATCTGCACCTCATTTCGCCGACTGTCGTGGACGGCACTTCTCCATTTGATGGCAACTCGCCACCAGGGCATGATCGATATGGCCCTTGAACTCACCTCCTGGCGCCTTCCACGTCTGCTGGTGGGTGCGGCGATGCGGAACAGCACCTCACTGATGACGTCACCTAAAATTTATCGACAACACCGCAGTCATATCGACCGAACACACTGGTCCAGCTGTCATGGTCAGCAACCACTTTCTGCCACCAAAAATAGCTGAATTGTCAAACCACAGCTTCATACAACCCGTACGCCGTTCAATGAAAACGCTCTATCAATGTGCATCCAGCCCTGTCGTAAACTATGCATGCATAACAAAATAATAAAGTGTTTAAAACAGTTATTAAGTTCTCACCACTTCTTACCCAATGACAGTTGCCTGTCATGGAATAAATAATTAATCGTTGCTACTACAAACGAAAATTTACGATGGCTTCATAACTTCATCGTAGTATCTGGGCAGCAGATCAAGATAATCTATGCGCCAGCCTGGGTGGTAAAAAGAAATCTGTTTAACCGACTCAGTATTGCTTCTACGAATGATTAGAGAAGCTTTGCTCATATTTTATTATCACGTCCTCGTGATAAAGAATGTACACCTAAAAACCATCGTATTGCAAACTAGAGCGAAGTCTGGATGTTGTTTGTAACGACGAGCATAGACGCAGACGATTTCACGGCATAAATGATCGGTATTCAGCTATAATAACCGCTTATCTTTAATGATAAGGTTATCGGTAATGTATAAATAAATTTTGATTAAACATAAAAAGAAACTCTATAGCTGGCGGTCCCAAACCCAGGGAAGAAAGGAAAAGGGTTGGGGAATATGGCGAATCCTCAAGCAAAACTCGATCCTATTCCTCATGTGCACTCGAAAACTATACCTGTCACTATATCGTCGCCAGAGTTACAAAGAGCCGTACAGGCCGTTGGAGAACTGAGACAGACTGCTTAAAGCCGGCCATCAGAAACTGGTTCATGCTTTCTGATACCAGGGCGCAACAGCACGAGGATGGCTACCGAAGGCGCAAAGACGTAGCCACCGTTTCCGACCGTTCTGAATCAGGGACAGACACGGCAACGCCATCACTGCACGTCATATGAGGTTCTACAGGAACGATTCCGACGGTGGGAGTACACAGTCAGAAATGGAATATCTTGTCACTCAGAAGGAAAGACGCCAAGGTACGGTCTGGACATAGTTGGACTTTCGTCAACGAAGCGCGAACTTCTGCTGGTGGAAGCTGTTCTGTTTTGGCGTAGATTTTGATGGCACGTGCACAGGCTGGTGTTCGAGTTCCCGCAGAACCGGCTCACAAAATCATTGAATGCAAGCTGCCAAAGAAACAGGTGATAATCAACCGGCTAAATAATAACAGGTTAGAGTTTGCGCGGGAACGACACCGACACCGGGAGCGCCGGAAAGCGAAACATATCCTGACTCACACGGAAAGAGCAGGAGATAACTGATGAGCCCGCAAGGTACCAACACTGCATAGATGGTCTCCTGTCGACGAAGCGACAAGGCTTTAGAATTCTGAACCTCTGCTGGTGGAAGCTATTCTACTCAGGTGTGGATATCACGGCGCGAGCTCAGCCGGGTGTTGGTGTTCTGTTAGAACGCAACCAGGCTGAGAGAATCATTGAATGGAAGCCTGTCAGCAGAAAAGTGGCAATTCTCCAACTGCAGCAACAACAGGCTAAAGCTTTGACCTTGTTACAGGTCTATGTGCCCAATTTGGAGGAACAATACAAGTCCTTCCTTGAGGAAGTAGACTGTGTTTTGTAGGAGGGGCCGACTACGAAATCCACCATTCCAATATGTGCACAGTAGACGGAGTATGCGCTGAAAAGTGAAACAGGTGTGATTGGAAAAAACGGCCCTAGCGACCTCAACAATAACGGCATTAAGTCGTTGCGGTTTTGTGCAAGCAATGGATTGCACATGATGAGCATCTTCGAGCATCGAAAAGAACATCAGTACGCTTGGTACTGGGAAGCTTGTGCACAGAAGTCGATGATCGATTTGATAATCGTGTCATCTGACCTAAGACGCTCAGTAGTGGATGATCGCCTTAAGAGAGGCGCAGAGCCATCAGCCGATCATCATCTTGTTGTTGCTGTAAGAAATGGAGTACCATACGAAGATCCGGTGGCACAAGCAACCGGAGAATCAAATGGGAAACTCTTCGGCGGATTCGAAAATAAAACTGGAAAAAACATCTCGTGGCGGTTTGAATTGATCCCAGGGGAACGCTCATTTCTAATGTTATATTTAAAATGGTTCGGCCTGCCTCCCGGAGGTCAGAAACGTACTCCTGGTGGACACCTGAAATTCAACTGGCTGTCAGCGCGAAAATGGCTGCCTTCCAGAGGTAGGTTGGCAGCAAAGTGCCTTCAACTCGAATGTGAGGCACCACCGAAAGCAGTGACCAAAGCGAAGTCTGATCCTTATTAGTTTTAGATACCAGATTGAAGCGGCGTAAGCACCGTCCCCTTGCTTCTAGGATTAAATGTCTCTGTTGGAAAAGTTCGATTAGGACCTGGAGTCGAAGTTTCGGACAACAGAGAATGTATGACTATCCGTCGACAAAAGGGCAGTTTAAGAGT